TTTCAGTTATTTGCTGTTGTATCGCCGATTTTCAAAATGCAAATGATCTGTTTATTTTCAAAGAATAGTTTGTTTTGTTATTGTTTGGTTGGTGTCTTATATGAAACTGCGACATTGCGCAATTTATTGGACAGACTTGTTTAAGATCACACAGCGTAATTTGGGTGGCATTTTATTTCGTATTTTTAAATCATCTTTTTATTTTTGACAATATCTGTAAATTTAGTTTCCTGCTCTTAATTGGGAATACATACTTGATGGTTTTAAATGCTCCTGAAATTAAGTGCTGCTTGACGAGCCTATATTGTGTATGTATGTGACGTCACTGAAGGCCTAAGGTTGAAATGCACGGCCCGCCACTGACCAAAATGTATAATAAGTCACTTGGTGAGAACAAACCAACAGACCAGAAAACTAAATACTGTAATACTATGAATACATTTATGTTAATCATGCACAGACTTTTTTTTTTTTTTTTTGGATAAAACATCACCAGGGCAAGGTTGCTGTGACTCAGGGAGAGAGTGGGTCCATTTGATTACCAAATGGTCCGCTGTTTGATTCCTGCTCTGTCAGAGTCATGTGTTGTTGTGTCCTTGGGCAAGACACTTCACCTCCAGTGCCGCTCAGACCAGTGTACAGTTCGGGGTGAATATTTGGCGGTGGTTGGAAGGGCCATAGTCGCACACTAGCAGCACTTCTGCCAGCCTACCCCAGGGCAACTGTGGCTACATACGTACTGGTAGTTTTCAATCCCCAGAGTGTGAATATGCGAGTGCACGAATAATGTGTACGAAGTGTGTGCCCTTTGAGTATGTTATCGAAAAGCGCTGTATAAATCTGATGCATTATTATTACAGTATTATTATTATTACACAGACAAATTAGCTTTTTTATGTGCCGTACTGTATATCATTTAAAAATTTCAATGTCATTTCTGAATATTCTACACTTGTTGACACATTCAGGAATAGCATGTGTTGAGATACTGTGGGTTTCGCATTTGTTTCATAGTGTTATGGACAAGCCACAAGATTATCGAAGTCACTCCATCCTCAGCTTGGTTATACAAGGAGTTAATCAGCCTCTCCCCTTCAAGGACATACAGTAGTACAGTACAGTGCAAACATTGAGAGCACACCTAAAGTGCATCGACATATTTGTGCCTGCTGCAGAAGAGCTGCTGTTCAGACCATCACACATTCCAAATGACAGACTCCATTATCTGTCACCTACAAACGGTGAGTCTTTGGAATGATCTTTGATTTATTTATTTTACATTTCTTACATGGGAGCCTATCAAAGTATACAATGATATCAAAAAAAAATTATTGGCCCTGGATTCTGTAGCTCAATAGGAAAGAAGATTAGATGAGCAATTTTTTTGGAGCGTGTTGCACTTCTGTTTCAATGTCACTGACTTTTGCTGCAATTTACCTGAAACAGTAACCTCTCAAACATTTTAACAGTTCATAACAACTTGTTTTTCTGTGATATAAATTTAAAAATTACTTTTGAAAAATCTTTGCAGAGTACAAAAAGTTCTAGTTCCAGTATTTTATATATATATATATATATATATATATATGTATATAGCAAGAACAGTTAGCTAACCATCTCCAACAATAAGAATGCATCAAATTAGCCTGTACACTAAAACATTTTATTAAACATGTCCCAAGTAACTTTACAAAGTCAACTTTGAATACCGTGTTGGCCCGAATATAAGACGGCCCTGATTATAAGACGACCCCCTCTTTTTCAAGACTCAAGTTTGAAAAAAATACTTTTTGAACACCAAATTAATTTTTATACAGAAAATAATTTCAGTACATCTGAAACAAATGATTAGAACAATATATTTGAGAGAAAAAGCATGTTATTTTGCCTCATTCAAATCTTAATATCTGAACATTTAAATATGTAACTAAAGTGAATGGCTTCTGGTTTTTGAAATATAAATAAACCAATTATTGTGATAAAACAACAAAATTGTTCGAAGACTCTGCCTCATTTATCACCATCCTCTTGAAGTTTACATCATAACTTCTCCTCAGCTGCCGGTTAATCTGGCCGATCTTCGACCCACTTTTCTCCAGATTGTCGCTACGTTTCTCCATTTTCTGTTACCTCTTCTATTATTTCCTTCTCTTTTCCTTCTTACCACTATTTTTTATTTTTCTTCTTTGTGCTCCCGCTATTTTTATTTTTATTCTTCGTGACAGGGGTTCGCTTTGGCCTGGGGAGTCAAGTTCAGCATTCGCTTCAATGATATCTGGCGCCATCTAGCGCCGTGAATGGGTATAATGTCTAGACCCTGAATATAAGACGACCCCCACTTTTACAGTCTTTTATTTCAATGCAAAAAACACCGTCTTATATTCGGGCCAATACGGTAATTCCAGGTGTTACACAAAATTTCTGACAACATACATGGATTGGAAGTGATCATTTATCTCTCTCGGGCATTCCTATCTGTGTCCTCACCCTTCTCAGCTACAGAATATGCATGTCCCAACAAAAGTTCCCACACTTCTTAAATTAAGCGTCTGTATTTTGTAAATGAACTCACACTTGTCTGAAAGGCAGAACAATCCCCGTGATTAGACACCCTGACGGGCCGGTTCTGGCCTGCAGGCCATGTGTTTGACACCCCTGCTCTGGGCGGTGGACCTTATGTAAATGCTGATCATTAATATCCCTGATGCAATGTTAAGGTAGGAGCAAAAGAGGAAGGAGACAAGTCCACACGCCACTTTAGGTTCTAAGGTGAGAGTCCTTTGTCCCATAGAACGATGGAGGGTCAGTCAGCCAGTGAGCCGTCCACACAGACCTTTGCCGTAGCCGACTATGCAGTCTTTGCTGGCATGCTCCTGTTCTCCATGGCCATAGGACTCTATCAGGCCCTGAAGAAGCAGCCACAGGATGCCAGCACCGATGACTTCTTCACAGGCGGTCGCGGAATGTCAGCGGTACCCGTCGGGCTCTCCCTCTGTGCCAGCTTTATGTCAGCTGTCCAGGTTTTGGGAGTTCCGTCTGAAGCTTATCACTTTGGATTCAAATTTCTCTACATGTGCCTTGGACAAAGCATCAACTCTCTGCTGACTGCTTACTTGTTCCTGCCAGTTTTCTTTCGACTTGGCATCACAAGCATCAACCAGGTTGGAATTGACTTCTCTCTGAATGAAATTTAATTCAGTATACCTTGCATAGCAGCCAAAGTGAAGAAACTGAGCTTTTTCAGTGTCATTTTCATTCACAAATTAAATGTGTTTTTTTTAATATCCTACATCTGTACCGTACCCCGTTTTTGTGTACATACTTTGAACAGTGCAATGCAAATTAAATGTAAACTCCTCAAAAAAATAAACGGAACACTTGGATTTACATTGTGCTGTTTAAATATTCCCTTTATTATTTTGAGCAGTATATTCTTATAATAATTTGGGGGTGCCTGCGTGGACTTTCTCCGGGTACACCGGTTTTCTCCCAACATTCCAAAAACGCGCATGGCAGGTTAATGGCACACTCTAAATTGTCCCCAGGCGTAATTGTGAGCGCGAATGGTTGTTTGCCCATGTGTGCCCTGCGACTGGCTGGCAGCCAGTTTAGGGTGTACCCAGGCTACTGCACAAAGACAGCTGGGCTCCAGCACGCCTGCGACCCTTGTGAGGATAAGCAGATTCAAAAATGGATGGATGGATAGATGATTATCATTATTATTGTTGTTGTTGTTATAAACATGTCTATCTGATGTGCAACGTTTTTTTTTCTGAATATGGTTAGTCTTTGCTCCATTTTGGCCTCAATTGGTGTTGACTGTAACAGCGTAAAACAAAAAACGTGTGGCACATTGTTTATCTTGCATTGCATTACATTACTGCTCTAGCTCAGCTCACAGTTTTAAGTTTAAAAATAAAATTGTCATTTTTGCGCAACAGACATATGAACAAATGAGAATGAAAACAATACCTCTCAACATCATACTTTGCTCTTGCCAGAGGTCATACCATGTCATGCTTGACTTTCACATCAGTGACGACATGCACATGAGCACTTTTCAGACCAAGGAGCCGTATCAGGGTGCTTGAGTAAGTGTTCCACAATAAATCCCATAAGGATTCATCATGACATACCTGCAGGTCAAGGCTAGGCAACTCCGGTCCCAGAGATCCGCTGTCCTGCCTGTTTTGAGTCTGTCTATCCATGACAACTTTGTAAACATTGTGATAAGCATGACTGGCACAGGTCAGAGTGACCCTTCAGCTCTCAGCGCTTGCTTTTGGTCGAGAAAGGTGAACCGCGAACCCTTTCACAATAAAATTTGTTTCATAACATGGTCCTTATTGGATGGAGTAATGAGAAACTCTCAAAGAACAAACCCCATTCTTTGCGATTGCATTGACCATTCAGAGTAGATTATCTCAGCATCGTTAATCGGAATTTACCGAAGTTAGGTTTCCATTTTGCAACAAATTTTATCTTGATGGGCTTTGCTTTTGTTTAATTGTTGATGGTTTCTGACAACATGACGCAGTTGAATCTTTGAGTCGCACTCAGTGATACCTAATAAGAGGACATTTATTTTTATCGATTAAATGTGCATTTCACGCTTCTCCCAGACTTTTTTGTACAACTTTACACCACACACTCTGGCATTTTTGCCATAGAGACAGACAATAATATAAGTTGAGGGGTTCGTATGTTTTGAATGGATGTCTCTAGTTAGGAATGGGCAAAAAGGAAAGATGGACTTTGTTTGAACTTAGCTTTTATTTTTCAACGTCTGCACCTCCGCAACTCCCGAATGAACACACCTCATTCCGGTAACGAAAACACTTCCTGCTTTTCTTAGCCAATCAGATGCAAGCAACATAAGAATGTTTCAGCAATTATTAAACAGAATATAATTTAGGTAACTGTAACATAAAAGAATATAATGCTCAAATATAAAATGATAATAATTGACAAATTAACAAAAGCTTACAATAATATGAAAATGCCATAGAAAAATCAACGTATCCAAGTTAGATGCGCTTAGCCCTTCGTGGCAACGTATAATGACGGCTGCCAGTGGCTTCACTTCTCGCAAGTAAGCGACATTGTTATTTCATTCATATGTAATTCCATGGCCACGACCTCACAGCTGCCAGACTGATACCTGTGTGGATGTGTCGCTATGTCCCTGAAAACCCAGAAATGTATTTGCAGTGTGCGTGAAAGCTTTGGTTGCCATCCCCCCATAAAATGTGCCAAACACAGCACATTTCTTTCCCGCTGAATTTTAACAGAGCAAACACAAAGAAGAAAGGCGGCCATAAGATGACCACGTATCGAAACTAATCGAGCAGAGGAAAACTGTTGTTCGTATTAATAGATTAAATAACATATTGTTAACTTGATATAAAATCTTAATCAGAGATGGCTCTATGTGTACCTAAACATATATTTGATGCTGATTTTAAAAATGTATTTGGGAGCTCATCGGGTTTTTGTAATTTACATTCTTTGTTTTAAAATTTGACCCGTAAAGGCAATGCGGATTTTACCTTACGTAAGTTATTGCTTTGATGGTTCCAAAAAAAACCCCCAAAAAAACCCTTCACCTGTTGCTGAACCTAACCCTTAATGAATAAATATTGCGAAATGTACTGCTATATTACATATTAGATGTTATTGGATATTATTATTCTTTTTATTAATGTTATTTAAAAAACAAGGGCAAATTTCGGATCAGTGAAAAAAATCACTCAGGAAAGTTTCTGTTTAAAAAAAAATAATAATAATAATACTGTAATTAAAACATTTGTTGACCCGTTTTATTGTCTTGTGCCAAATTTGAACTACAAAGTGCCTCAAGGGAGACAAATTCTTGTCCTAACTGTATGTCAAGTATTTGTCTGGAAAAATGTTGAAAAGACTATTGGTGATGATCAAACCAAATGAATATGAAGTGAAGATGTATCAGGAATGTTATAAGTGTGGCCTGTCTGCTCGTCACAGTATCTGAAGATGAGGTTTGGCAGAGGGATGCAGCTGCTGGGGAGCGTCCAGTTTCTTGTGGCCACAGTAAGACAAGCACACACCTGATCTTATTCCTTGCCGTACATCAGTGATGTTCAAAACTTGTTTACCTCTCTCAGCAAATGAAAATTTACACATCATCTCATGCACAAATATTGACAGTAGCATATTCGTGATGCTGGATAATTAGTCAAACATAAAAAAGTACAAATTGTCTTGAATTAGCTTAAACAATTGGTGGTTGAATTAACAAAATTGCAGAAAAGCAGTTTTTTTTTAAGCAAGCGGAGCTGTAACTCTCGGTAGAAACCAGAAAGTAAATCCCTTCAGTGATTTAAAAAAAAAAAAAACTATTAAACTAAGAAGTTATCATGAGAACAGGTAATATCTGATTCTGAGTGTCGTATTTCAGTACTGCGGCTTGTTAAAGACTGGGAAAAAAAGGATGTCTTAGTCGTACAAAATTAATATTCACGGAAGTCATATCAACACTAAAGGTTTAACTTTCACTGAAGAAAGGTTGAAATTATCATACCATAAAAATACAGTGGAATAGAATATATCAAATAATAAAATGTGTCTTGCTGTGTTTCTGTATTATTTATTTGCTTTGTCAAGCTGCTGTACACGGGGGTGGTCATTTATGCACCAGCATTGATCCTCAACCAAGGTGGGTGAGATGACCTGCTCACATGACTCCAAACCATTTCACGGGATTTTGTTATTCATACTTTGGAAAGACAGTTGATCTGGTTAACACCAAAGAACTTTGTTGTAGGTCAAAAAAAAAGAAACCCAACAAACTAGCAACTTAAAATGACATGTAGTTGTTTAAAAGTTATGAACATGAGTTTCATCTGTTTGAGTGACCGTAATCATTTTTATGTGCCTTATATTGCCAATTAGTGGCTTCCACCCCCAACGTGCCTCCTCTGTATTTTCCTTCACAGCAACTGGGCTCAATATGTGGCTGTCTCTCTTCTCTTCTGGAATCATCTGCACACTGTACACAACTCTGGTAAAGTCATGAAGCATGTCCACTAATCTAGTCATTCCCATCAATGCCCACTAAAGGTTGGGAAATACTGCACTCATGTAGTCACTCAATACATATGTCTCAAGATATCCCAACGTGTCTAAGTATCTCCTGTATTATTGGTCTGTTCCAGGGAGGCATAAAAGCCGTGATCTGGACAGATGTTTTCCAGATTGTTGTCATGTTTTCAGGCTTTGTGGCAATTTATATCCACGGCACAGTTCTGGTGGGTGGTCCCGCGGCAGTGCTGGAAATTGCCAACAATGGATCGCGGCTTAATTTTGACGAGTACGTGAGAACAACCTCATTCGTCAAAGTGTGTTCCTTTGTATGAAGATAGAGCCAGCTGATCTTTTGCTGAGGCCCACGCCGACTGCTGCTGTTACGAAAAGCAATTTGGATGGGCATTTGCAGTGCAGAGTTATTCTACGGCTAGGCATCATCGCTTTTTCTGGTTTCGTTTCAGATTTTGGAAATAGAACACGTGCCACTTGTGCAGGTCCATCGTTTATCCTTTCAAAAGAACTAATGCATTGAAAACTGAAAAAAAAAGTCAAAATTTCACAGGTGCAAATATTTAGCGATTAATCAACAACTAATTGATTATCACGTCAATCAACAATTATGTAAATTATTGAGTAATATTTTGGAGTCTTTTTTTTTTTTTACTTAAAATTGCCCAAATGTTCTGATTTCAGCCTCTCAGGCGTACATTCTGTGATTCCTGTAGTCCTTTAGGACTACAGACTGATTATCTCTTGTGTTGAATCAAAAATGAGGCATTTGCAAACATCTGCTTTTACTTGATCGAACCAGGAACTGAATCAGTTTCAAAGAGCTCAGTGAGTAGAACATCACTTTTTCACATGTGATATTGCTTAATTATTGTTTAGGTGTTTTTGTAATCACTCAAGATGAAGTCACCAACGTGGTACCTGCGGACACCAGTTAACCGCCAAGCACCACGTGAATAGCCCACCAGTGATGGGAGATTCTTTTCTCAGAATGTTGTTGAAGTGATTACAGTATTTGAAAATGTAAACACTGGCAAAGATTCAAGAAAACAATGTGTTGCATCTGATATTTCCCTGTTTGCAAATTATTGAGAAATCGTAAACAAGCTCCTTGTCTTCACATAAATGAATATCATTAGTTATTAATAATAGCAGCTCAAGCTTATTTGAGCAAACTTGTTATTTTCAAAGTCTGTATTCACCTGCGAGCCGTTTGCATTAATCAGTACAAAGCAAAAGATCAGTTGGGTAATTGTAGACGTGGTATTTTACACGGAGCTGTACAAATGAAATAATTACAGTTGAAGGGACTATCCTTGGATGTTTGTTCAGTTTTGACTTTGACCCACGACGACGTTACACCTTCTGGAGCTTGACTTTTGGAGCTTCACTTTTGTGGCTATCCATGTATGGAATAAACCAAGCTCAAGTCCAACGCTACATCTCCTGCAGAACCGAGAGGGAGGCCCAGTGGTGAGTAGTTCCGTTAATGTCGATGCTTATTCCAACCATTTGCAGACTCAATCATCCATGTGTTAACCAGCAGTGTTCATGGGAGCTATGTTACAAAAAACAGACACAAGTGTGTGAAGTATCTGAGATATTATGTACCTCATATGTCAGATTAAAGCGATTGTGGCGTATGTTGCGGAAAATAATAAGCTTACTTTTTCTTTCAGTCCTTAAAAAAAAAATCACACGGTCAGCACAATATTTTCTTAATGTTGAATCATACTGTTTCATTGTACCAATCGAAAATACCCCCCACAATCCCCCTCCCTCACACACACACACACACACACACACACACACACACACACACACACACACACACACACACACACACACACACACACACAGGGAAAATTTGAATTGAATATGACTGAATAGCCAGCCTAATTCCGAGACCTAGGAGCTCAGGTCACCTGTTTACTTCTAACCTGATCTGTTATTTACATGTTCCATGTAACATTTAATCAGAACATCATTTTACAGATGTGTGATGTGCGCATTTGTATATTGTAAACATCACGGGATTTATGTTTGTGTTTGTATAAAGAAGACAGACATGCAGTACTATGAGAAATGATTTCCCCCTTCTCAGTATTTGCATATTTTTCCCATTTCATTGTTAAAGATAATCAAACAAATGTAAATATCAGACAATAACCCAAGTCCACATAAAATGCAGTTTTTAAACGGGGTTGGGGGGGATGTTCAAAGCGACTTGGCCCTGTGTGGAAAAAGTACTTGCGCCAAAAATAATTACTGATTGGGCCACCTTCAGCAGGAAACATAGAAAATAAACGGTATTGAACACCAAAGGGGTATCTCATGACAATTTATTCTGGCTTTGGAGAATTTTTCCTGGACTTTTTCAATCATAGCTCAATACTCCTTGTTCTCCTTCTCTCTCAGTGTGTGATAATTCTTAGTTCTTTGAGAATGAAAAACAAGCTCTTTGTTGAAGACAATTTCTCCATGTCGTGTTTGGAAGCCTTCAAATTGGTCAATAATGACATCACTTTATATCAGGACAGTGCATTTGCAGATAGGGCGCAGCCTGATAATGTTTCTATTGACCGTTTAGGTGGGGGGAAATTTATTTTACATCAGATTGCCAAAAGAAATATTCCACCCCTGTGAATCTGAATAAAATTCCATTTGGTTTAGGCCCATTTATTTAGATTGCGGTGTTTATACCGTATGGAGAACTTTCAATCTGTGTGGGCTTCTAACCAGATTCTAATCAGAATACGAAGCTCTGTGTAAACCTGGCGAATGTGAATGTTGCCATAATGACTTTTTCTTGCAGGGCAATATTTGTCAACCAAGTAGGTTTGTGCCTAATTGTGGGAAGCGCAGTTGTCTGCGGCATCGTCATGTTTGCTTATTATAGCAAGTGTGATCCACTGAAGTCTGGCAAAGTGTCTTCCCACGATCTTGTAAGTTGAATGCTGCTTTTCGCTGTGTTTTTGGTCATAGCATTTGTTTTTCTTTCTGCCCCTGTTAAATTGACAATAAAGTGTGATGGAAAGACAAATAGACATATGCCATTAAGTGGTTCGTTGGTGGTTACCAAGTGCTTCAGGTTATTTGAAGTTACTCCATATACAGCAATTCTGAGAAGAACTGATAGATATAGCCACTGTGAAAATACAGTAAAAGTTAGTTACATGACACAAACACTTTTTCTCTCTCCTTGTTTTTATGATGCAGTATATGCCCTACTTTGTGCTGGATATATTCAAGAGCTATACTGGCTTTCCAGGTCTTTTCCTGGCCTGTGCATACAGCGGCACTCTGAGGTATTGAAAATAATCTCATATAATTTCTGAAAAATTCGATATAAAAGGAAATTATGCAGGAAATATGAAGGTATCATCAAACGATTGACAGGAAGTAAAACACACAACTACTAGAAAAACAAATATTTCCCCATGTCGTGGGTGGAGGCTTGTGTGCTTCCGTGGCTTTGAAGGCTCTACCGCAGCGAGTCACCTGGCCCACCAGGTAGGTTGTCAAATGCGGGGATAACAACTCTTAATTTAGAGACCACATTTTGACAAAGTCACACCTGAAAATGTCAGCTAGTTAAGAAATTTTATGTACCCCCCGCCCAAAAAAAAACAACTTTTTTTTTAAATGATGTTACTAGAAATTAAACATCTGTGTCCATGATGACGCAAATATGTTCTCAGAATCTACCAGAACTGTCATCTAAATTAGCATTCAGATGGACCCCAGCTTGGAGAGAGGAAACCAGTGAGACCAAAAACATCCTGGCAGAGAACTGTGACCTCAATACTGAAGTCAGCAAACGTTACTTGGTGCTAGACACAACATACTAGACTGGATAGGACTAGATGGAAGCAAACAGATGCAGCCTTATGTTTACAGAAAAGGAGAATGAAGTCATAAGTAAACACAAACAACTCTGTTAATGATACAACACGTAATTAGCGACAAGTATTTACAAAAGGTGGATAAACAGATTGATTTTAGCTTCTGACATCTGATGGAAGAGTACGTCATTGTACTGCCTGACACTATTAGTCACTGGCATTCATAGAGGAGCAAAGATATGCAGTATATAAACTGGTTGGGAAATACTGGTCGAACACAGCAGTCCATCTCAACCAGTTCAGAGTAATTCTACTCAGAAATGTTTTTCAACTTTATCTGTAATGATGAAAAAAAAGAATGAAATGAAGAAAGACTTTCCCTTCTCCACAACGTCTCCTATGCAGCACAGTTTCCACGAGTATCAATGCAATGGCTGCAGTAACGATGGAGGACCTCTTTCAACAATATCTGCACCACGTGAGCCAGAAGAAACAGATCTTTATTTCCAAAGGACTGTGTAAGGTTGAATACGACGCATCATTCATTCATTTACTATTTATCAAGTCACATATTTGTTGAAAATGTACAAGGCTGATGATGTATAGGCCGAGTGAGCCTAGCAGACTGCTCGAAGTGTCACATTAAGTAAGGCCAAAATAATGAGGCTTCCTTCTTTTTTTTTTTCCTTTTCAAGCCTTCCTGTATGGAGTTGCTTGTATCATTGTAGCCGTTTTAGCCTCATTCCTGGACTGGGGAGTTCTTCAGGTAAAAAAACAACAAAAAAAAAAATCAAGTAAACAATTTTGGACATGGCATCTTCACCCTCCAATTTCGACACAATCCGTTCTGTGGGGCTGGTTGACTTCCCGCTCATTGTAATTTCAAAATATTTTTTCTCATTTTGTTCCAGACTCTTCATTAAATTTTTAACCTTAATTAACTGTACAGTACAGATCATGTTTTATGTCAGCGGTCCATGCCGCAGAGTGAGACAGACAAACATTTATTCATTTATTTTGCAGAGCACACCCCCACACCCGTTAAAATGTTAAAGAGTAACAAGTGTTTAGAAGAGTGGGAAATACGTTTTGTGTGTGTGTGTGTGTGTGTGTGTGTGTGTGTGTGTGTGTGTGTGTGTGTGTGTGTTTGGGCGGGGGGTCGTAATGGCTTAATAGAGGTGTAAATCCCCCCAAAATAATTAAAAAAGTCAACCTCTTCTTCGCGGAAATTCACCTATCATAGCAGGGTAGGAACGTATCACCTGTGAAAAATGAAGCAACACTCCATTGATTTCCAATGTGTTTTATAAAGAATTAGCACATGAGCAAAGGCAGAATTTGAGAGAATTGCTTTTTTCATTTTTGTTTACAGATATGCACTTTTATTGTCTTCTGTTGTTATTTGCATTGAAATGTATATATCTGTCCATATTGCAAATTGAGTCACTCTTATTTGATTTCATTTTATTTTATTTTATGATCATATTGAACAATCACAGTGTTATTTTATGAGATATTTAAAGCGGAAACCTGAGACTATTTGTTTCAAATTTCACATGTTCAACGTTTTGTCCACACTGACTGTGCTCTCTCCTCAGGGGTCCTTCACAGTCATGGCTGTGGTCAGTGGTCCATTACTAGGTGTATTCATTTTGGGGATGTTTTTTCCTGCGTCAAATAGACTGGTGAGGTTTTTGTTTTGTTTTTGTACAATATTAAGGAGCTTCTGAAAATATTTGCACAATCGTTCACCTATTAGGACTTTTATTTTGACACCATAGGACAACTGATAAAGATATATACATATACAAAAATATATATGTGTGTGTGTGTGTGTGTGTGTGTGTGTGTTTGTATGTGTGCGGAACAGATCCCTCACATTGTAGTGACTCCAAACAGCCTTGTCACTTCTGAGAGAAAGAGTCCACTGCTGTACATGTCAGACGCACCGCTCATCATTATGACAGCTTAACAATAGAAGTACACTGAGTTGATTGAATAAAACAGTGGCTTTCATGGTTACATACCTTCTGGGTGGATTCATGTATGGCACATGGAGCTTAGCACAGGATATTATAGCATTGCGCAGTGAAGCGAAGCCATCAACAAAAAAAATGCGGCTACCCAGCTCCATTCTCTCTCCTTACTGCTGATAAGGGCACCTAATTAAATTATCCGCCATTCACTTCTGATGTCATGTGACTCAAGCACCTACTGTATTAGTGCAGCAAAAAACATCAATCAAACCTGCGTGAAGAATGCATTCGATGTAAATGTAGCATTAGTCAGCAAGCAGAAAAGGCAGACAAGGTAGGGGAGCAGACTGAAAAGTGTCCTCCTTTGTAAGACCCCAAAGAATCATTTATGACGTATCAAAGTCATACTTTCCCCAAAATGTTTTTGTTGAATTTCAAATTTGACAAACTCTGATTCGAAAGGTACAAATGCACATTTTGACATTTCAGGGGACACTCCTAGGAATAGCAGCTGGATACTGTGTCTCTCTGTGGCTGGCTGTTGGTTCCACTCTTTACCCGCCCAGTTCAAGGACCATGGGCGTGCTGCCTAATTATGCAACTGAGTGTGAACCTGGAAACATCACTCAGCCTCAACACGACACCTCAACCCCACCTCAACCCGACAACCCACAGTCAGTGATACTCGACAAGCAATTGTGGTTTTTTGTCATGAAGTTTTTCTTGCGATGTCACTACATCAAGACGTAAGACATCCTGAGAGCAAAGATATTTATGGCTATCTTTTCCAAAATCTAGGGGCCTGCATAACTTGTACTCCATCTCTTACCTCTACTTTGGTGCCCTGGCAACAAGCTCGGTTGTCATAGTTGGGCTCCTCATGAGCTATGCTACGGGTAAGCATCCAGTATAAAGACAATGTGATTATTTCTAACATTTGCTTGGTCACACACATCAGACTTCTGTCACTCATGTCTCGTGTGTCTTTGGGCAAAAGTGAGTGTAAATATGGTGCCCGTTTATGGAAGCTAAATCCAGTTTCATGGTGAATTTTTACATCACATTATTGTGGAAATGAGCACATTTCTCCCAACGTGCAGGACCAATGATGAGAGCTGATCTTCAAGAGGGTTTGTTATGGTGGGACTTGGGTAAGAAGCAAACAGTCTTCCACTCACAGCGCGGGGTAAGTGATGATGTTCGAAAGATAATTATAACTATTGCCACAATCATGGATGGAAGCATGGATGGATGGTAGATAAGTTGGTAGATGGGTAGTTTTTAAGTAATTATTTTTTTTCCTTTTTCAGGGCTTGTGTACAGAACGACAGTGCGTCCCTATGATGCAGCTGCAACAAAATGATGAAAACCAGGCACAAGAAAAAGAAAACGTTCACACTATTAAGTCAATTGTGCGAGTGTAAACAGAAGTTTTGATCCAAAGAACATACTGTAATAGCTGGTCGCTGGACTAATCTTCTTTGTCCTGCAGATCTTAATTTCCCTCAAGGGATTAATAAAGTATCTATTGACCAAATTCTTGTTCAGGCAAATTCTTTAATGGTTTGGTAAATGGCTGGATGACAGAGCAGACTCCACAAACGATGAGCAAGCAAATATTTATTTCACCAAAAGTCATCACAAATGTAAAGTGAAATTAACAATAGGCTCCAGCACCCCGCGACCCTCGTGAGGATAAAGGGGCTCAGAAAATGAATGAATGGTGATGACAGATGTTTCATGACATTCTGCCAAAGTGTATAAATGGTAGGGAAGCAATGTTGAAAGTAGCAGCAAAAGAGGAATAGGTCCACAAGTCATTTCGCTATACCCTGAGATTTCTTCATCCCATAGAACGGTAGAGGATCAGTCAGCCAGCGAGCCATCCACACAAACCTTTGTCGTGGCCGGCTATGCAGTCTTTGCTGTCATGCTACCGTTCTCCGTGGCCATCAGACTCTATCTGGCCCTGAAGAAGCAGCCACAGGATGCCAGCACCGATGACTTCTTCACAGGTGGTCGCGGTATGTCAGTGGTGCCTCTCTTCCTCTGTGCCAGTTCTATGTCAACTGCCCACGTTTTGGGAGTTTCACCTGAAGTTTATTGCTTTGGATTCCAATTTATCTGCACGTGCCTCAGACAAAGCATCCACTCTCTGCTCACCGCCTTCTTGTTCCTGCCAGTTTTCTTTCGACTCAGAAGTACCAATCAGGTTGTCATTAACTTTCCACAAAATGTAATGGAAATTTACCATAACTCGAACAGCACCAATGGTGACCAATCATATACATGTCTAATGTGCAACACAGCTATTGCTACTGCTTCATCTGGTTTGTCACTGCACCCAATTTATGTAGACTGTCATGGCAAAAAAACGAAAAAGGAATCTTTAATCGTCACAAATATTATATGACAATACTGTATTCCTATTGGGCAGAAACACGTAAAACCCCTCTACAAAGTTTTAAAGTACAAAATTGATTGTCCTTTTTGAAGAGGGATGAATGAAACTAATGTCTCTTTTAATGACAACAAAACCAAATTGGATATTCTCTTGTAGTCGACTCAGATAACAGTCAATACAAATTGCCAAATTTGAAATGTGTCCATTATTTGTCTGACAAAATGCTATCAGAATGTTGGTGATGATCAAGCCAAATGAATCTTAAGAGGTGAAGAATGATCAGGAATGTGTGTGGAGTTTTTGAGCCAAGTTTGGCCTGTCTGCCCTTCACAGTATCTGAAAATGAAGTTTTGCAGAAGGATGCAGCTGCTGGGCAGTGTCCAGTTTCTTGTGGCCACAATAAGACAAGCACATACTTTGTCTTATTCCTTGCTGTATTTCAGTGATGTTGAAAAGTTGTTTGCTGCATTCAGCAATCAGAATTGCACATCGTCTCGTGGACAATGTGAATGTGGGTTTTTAGATGAATTTTCTGAATTTATACTAATTATGGGTGACTTTAATATTCATATAAATTTCCGGTCTGAACCACTTACCGTGAGGTTTCAGACAACAACTGATTCTTCTGGTTTTACACAAATAAACGAAGTGACACAAAAATTGGTAATACTGGTACTTTACATTTGGCACTAACCTGAGTGTTAGCAACCTCAAATGTCATGGTATTAATATATCTAACTGCTATCTTTGACTATTATAAAATGTGAAGTCTTGGCTCATTGGCATCGTCCTGGTGACAGTCAAAGCTAAAGCAGCCACAATATTAGTTCTTCAACCAATACTGCGCTCTCTGAGTTACTGCCTCTGGCAATTGCTTCCTTTCCGTTTTATATTGGTTGGATTGATAATCTCACAAATTATTTTAATGCTGTTTTCTTAAATGCCCTCTGACTCCCTGGCACCCTTAAGACTTAAACCTCGTCCTGAGAGGCTTCCTCTGTGCTTTCCAGATGAAACCCGCACACTGCTACAATTATGTGGGAAGCTTGGGTGCAAATTGCATGCGACTAAATTTGAGCTCTTCCATTAGGCATGATGCAATAGCTTGCTGAAATACAAAGAAGCTCTCATTTTAGCTAAAACAAATTATTTCTCCAGAATAACCGTTCTCAATAAAAACAACCTTAAATAATTCTTTGATACAGTGATAGATAGATATCCGAGTACAAGGGAAATATGGTATTTCCTTCCACTGCTATGCAGATGACTGTCAGAACTACGTCCTGCTCAGCAAAAAACACTTTCTCATTGAGGCCACTTTTGTCCTGTTTAGAGGAAACCAAGACTTGGATGGCACTTAATTTCTTGAATTTCAATGAAAACAGAAGTGATGGTGTTTGGTCCCATCCTGTAGAGGAAGCGAACAGTCTTGCACTTAGGTCTTAAACTGGACAGTGACTTTTAGATTGGACTAAAATGAAATGCTGATGCTCGCCTCTTGACAGGTACTGTACTCTCAAGAGGGAGCATAACTCCTACTCTTGCATCCCCTCACTGGCTCCCGATACATGTTAAGAGTTCTTTTTAAGATTCTTTGTTTACAGTGGTGGTTCTTTAAAAGTGCTCTGTAAATACAATGAATTCTACCGCCACAAAGTCTAGGAAAATACCAAAAGAAATAAAACTCCACCCATACGCACACTCATGTCTTGTGTGTCCTTGGGCAATGCAGGTAAATGCAGTCTGTAAACATGGAACCTATTTATTTAAGATAAGGTTAATGTACGGGGAATTTTTACATCACATTATTGCCGGAATTAGCACATTTCTCCCAACACTTGGGGGGAAAAACATTTCCAGGAGTTGTAAAATATGACAAATATTGACACACTCATTATTGAGTGCCCTAATTTATTCATCAGATTTCAAAGTAGTTCTAAAACGGTGTCTTCAACATTGTTTTTCACTAGCCACCATCCATTTTATGTAGTGCTTGACGCTTGTCCTCAATTCAGGTCATGCGTGAGCTCAGCTGATTTGGACAAGAGGTCGGGTCCACCCTAGGCTGGGCGCCAGTCAATCACAGCCCACATCTAGACAACAACCATTAACACTCACATTCACACCTATAAAGTCTTCAATTAACAAGCATGTTTTGGAAATGTGGGAAAAAGCCCAGGCCCATGCTGGATGACGGGGCCAAATGAGCTGCAAACAGCCAAATGCTGCAAACACAGGGATGTTGCAAACAAACAACTAAGGATCCAAACAAAAAAAGAAGCACACACATGCAAACTAAAAAACACACAACTGCAAAACAAAAACACTACAAGTAAGAAATGCTGCAAACTGCCAAACATTACAAACACAGGATTGATATAAACAAAAAAAACATGAACACATAGATGGAAAAAAAACACAACAATGAAAGAAAGAAGTGCTGCAATGACAGCGACAAAGTGGAAGCAAACATAACAAACCCAAAAACAACAACAATTAACCCATTCAATCCATCCATTTTCTGAACCGCTTTATCCTCAAGAGGGTGGCGGGCGTGCTGGAGCCCATCCCAGCTGTCTTTGGGCAGTAGGCGGGGGACACCTTGAACTGGTTGCCAGCCAATCGCAGGGCACACAAAGACGAACAACCATTCGCACTCAATCACACCTAGGGACAATTTTGAGTGTTCCATTATCCTGGAATGCATGTTTTTGGAATGTGGGAGGAAACCGGAGTACCCAGAGAACACCCACACAAGCACGGGGAGAACATGCAAACTTCACAAAGAAAATGGGGAGGATCTGGCCTCACAGGACTGGTCCAGTGGTGCCCCCTCTTGGCCTCGTGAACATCCATTTAGTGTTGTGTACTTGCAATATTAGTTTTCTAATCGTTTTTGAGCTGATTTGTTTTGGACCCCACGTTTCATTTTTGTGTGTGTGGGTGGGGGGGGGGCGGGTGGTGTCTACCATTTGTGTGGTGCTTTGTGATGTTTGCTTCCACTTGCTGTGATTACAGCATTTCATTCTTGCCTTTGTGTGTTTGGTTTTTGTTTGCGGTGTTTGCTTGTTTGCATTTCTTCCTTTCAGTGTTTTTGTGGTGTTTTTGGTTTGCATCTCTTTTCTCCCGGCATTTTGATTTTCTAGCGTTCGGCCGTGAGCAGCATGCTTGCCCCTGCCAGCCACCATAGTGGACATAGATTGTAATTAAATCATTTTAGTAGGAGCACTAAGTGGAGAAATGTGACAATTCTGTGGGCCCATAACAGAAGGGCCCAAGAAAATATCTTCCATTTGTAGTATTTGCCATGTTTCATGGGGCTCAAATTTATTTACACAAGCTTCTTAACATTTTTCCATGGCACATTGTGAAAAGAAAAGCGTGTACCTTTAATAAGGCCCCACAAATAGGATGAAAACGACATCCACCAAATGTAAAACTAAGCCCACTGTCTACATATAAACATTTTTTTAAAATCACTAACATTCTGTATTTGTTATCTTGTTGGAAGAGTCATTTTTTGCTGCCCTGCAGAACTTATCTACTAAAATTCCCTCAAAGAATTACAGTAGCTCTTGAATTATGTTTTAAATCAACTTCTTGTTCCAATAACGTTTGAGTTCCTTCGCTGACCCAATGTAGACACTGGCAGGTTAAATGGCCTGATCAGCCTGGTGACAGGACAAAAAAAATGATAGACGTTGAAGAATGCAGAGCTCAAAAGCGGTACATGTTAATCCCTAACATGTAAAAAAAAAAAAACTCACACATCAGTTTAAATTCTTTATGTGGTCACACTGTGGGGCTGCACTTTAACTCGTGCACTTTTCCTCCTGAAACAATATTCAACAACAAACTGTTCACTGTGGTACTTCAATGGTTTATTTTCAATATTGCTCAGAACTTTTAACTCAAGTTGGGAGAGTGTACTTCTATTACTTATATTGCTCAATGGCTGAAAACCTACACTTCAAACAAGATGAAACAAATGGGGAAATTGTGCAGCAAATGAGAATTTACAACCGTCCCGATTAAAACGACAGCATAACATTTAAACTTTAAGTCATTACTCAACTTCTGTCAGTGTAGAAAATAAAACGTAAAGCAATGCAATGGTTGCCGGTGTAGCTGAATTATAGGGTGTGAGCTTTGAAGCATAGCACATAGTTCTTGGGTGAACCACGAGGCCCCTTGTGCGCAGACAGGCGTCCCGGTGAGTCACCAATCTTCTGCGGCCCTGTTCGAGTCTTCGTCA